ACCAGCCTGGCCAACATGGTGTATTTTTAGTCTCTACTAAAGATACAAAAATTAGCCAGGCATGGTGGTGCACACCTGTAATCCCAGCTACTCATGAGGCTGAGGCGGAGAATCGCTTGAACCTGGGTGGCAGAGATTGCACCACTGCACTCCATCCTGGGCAAAAGAGCGAGACTCTGTCTCAAAAAACAAAAAAGGATTATCTAATTTTTTTTATTATTGATTTATAATAGTTCTTTATATATTTTAGATACAAGTACCCTATCAGATATATCATTTGCTAATATTTTCTCTGGGTTGTATAGCCTTGTGATGTAAGGGATCTTTCTAAGTGAAGTTTTTAGTTTTACTTGTTTTTGTTGTTTTTGAGATAGGATCTCTGTCTTCCTGGCTGGAGTGCAGTGGTACAATCTTGGCTCACTGCAATCTCTCCCTCCTGGGTTTAATCAGTCCTCCTACCTTAGCCTCCCCAGTAGCTGGGACCACAGGCATGTGCTACATGCCCAGATCATTTTTGTGCTTTTAGTAGAGATAGGGTTTTGCCACATTGGCCGAGCTGGTCTGAAACTCCTGGCCTCAAGTGATCCACCTGCCTTGTCCTCCCAAAGTGCTGGAATTAAAGGCATGAGTCATGATGCCCTGCCAAGTCAAGTCTTTTTAAGACAAGGAAGAGAAGGAAAATTCAAATGTAATAATATAATAAGTAAGGCCGGGTAGGTATGGTGGATCTTATAGCACTTTGGGAGATTAAGGCAGGAGGATTGCTTGAGCCCAAGAATTCAAGACCAGCCTTGGCTACAAAGAGTCCCTGTCTCTACAAAAAATAAAGAAACTAGCTGGCTATAGTGGAATGCACCTATAGTTCCAGCTGTGTGGGAGCTTGAGGTAGGAGGGAAGCTGAGGAGGGAGGATTGCTTGAGGCCAGTAGTTTGAGGCTGCAGTGAGCCATAATGGCACCACTGCACTCCAGCCTGGGTAACAGGGCAAGACCTGGTCTCTCTCTCTCACACACACACACAAAAGAAATTACTGTCATCAGCCTATATGTAGCACTATAGATATGCCAAAAAAGTGTTCATTTTGCATAGGATGAGCAAATGTTAACTATTTAAAACAACTTTTAAAGAGAATTTTCCATTTGATTCAGTTTATTTAGAATTTAGCTTATACATAGTGTCGTGTGTGTTGTGTCAGTCATTCCTACTGGATTGTAAATGTGGCTGCCTGTTTTGCTTACCAGTATGTTCCCAGGGCCTGTCTGATATGAGGCTCATGTCCAATAAATGTTTGTTACATGAATGAATGAGTAAACATCAGTGTGGGCTAGAGCTATTGGGCGTGTGGCATTCATTAAGTTAATCTAGAAAGTTGTCACAAGATGGAAGATGTTAGGGTGACAAGAGTACAAAGCCCAAGGGTGCCCCTCAGAGCCCTGCCATTAATGAGGCTGTAGTAGCAGCCCTTCTGGGCACATATCCTGATCTGGGAAATGAGGAAATGAGGGGATGCATTGGATTGTCTCCTGTTTTTTTTTTTTTTCTTGAGACTGAGTTTTGCTCTTGTTGCCCAGGTTGGAGTGCTATGGTACAATCTCGGCTCACTGCAACCTCCACCTCCCGGGTTCAAGCAATTCTCCTGCCTTAGCCTCCTGAGTAGCTGGGACTACAGGTGCCTGCCACCACACCCAGCTAAATTTTGTATTTTTAGTAGACATGGGGTTTCACCATGTTTGCCAGGTTGGTCTCGAACTCCTGTTCCAAAGTGCTGGGATTACAGGCATGAACCACAGAGCCCAGCCTGGACTTTCAAAACAGGCAAAAAGGAAGCCACTGCTGTAAAGACACCAATAGACCCTTGTGAGGCTTATTCCTGATCCAAATCCTGGACATTCTGAGTGGCCACCGTGTGCCCTGGTTTGGGGGTCTAAAGGCATGAAAACGAGCCGTGGACATGCTGTGGAAATGGCCACATTTTGATGCATCTCTGTAATTTGGAGGCGCTGAAAGATGTGACAGGCTGTCCAGTGGTGCCATTCCAAAGCCGATGGTGCTAAAAGCTCGGAAATAGTCTCTGTTCAAAGGTGTCCTTCCAAGGCCTGCGGCGTGCCCCTCCCTCACCAGCCACGCAGCCACACGCCTTCACATTTGATGCCTATGTCCTGCCCGCCCACTCGTCTGTGGCATCCTGGGAGTCATGCTTAGGCACATGGCTGGGGCTCTATCATTAAACTGCCAGCCCCGATTATAGCCCTTCAGATGGGCCTTTAAAAAGGCACAGCTCTAAGAGGTGCCAGAATTAAATTGGAGGGCAAATTCCATCCCTAAAATAAAGACCGTGGGAATTGCTGTCTTCTGTAGCTGGGCAATCAAAGTGTTTTTCTTTAAAATTGACCTAAGTCGGAACGTATACCTTTGATCAGCGTGTCTGGACCCTCATGCCCTTGGCTGACAATGCTCACGATGCCACATGGGGATTGAGTTCCATGCAGGGGGAGCCAGGACCGAAGCCCTGGCCCATGGCTTGTGATGAGAGGAGCCTCAGCAGCTGGAGCAGGGTGGGAGGGACCAGGGGGATGGTGGGTGGCAGATTCTGGGGGTGAGAGGAAGCCATGGAAGCATTTTCTTTTATCTTTTTTTTTTTTTTGAGACGGAGTTTCACTTTTGTTGCCCAGGCTGCAGTGCAGTGGCTCGACCTCAGCTCACAGCAACCTCTGCCTTCAGCAGGGTTCAGGCAATTCTCCTGCCTCAGCTTCCCGAATACCTGGGATTACAGGCATGTTTCTACACACCTGGTTAATTTTTGTATTTTTAGTAGAGCTGGGTTTCACCATGTTAGCCAGGCTGTCTGCAACTCCTGACCTCAGGTGATCCACCTGCCTCAGCCTCCCAAAGTGCTGGGATTAGAAAGAGGCATGAGCCACCTCACCCTGTCACAGGACCAGTCTGTAGAGGGCTTGTGGGGTCACTTCTGTTTGGGGAGCCGCAGGCTCTGCTGGAGCTGAGGTAACAGTTTCCCAGTGCTTAGGGCCATTTCCGACTAGCATTGTCCCCAGGCCGATGCATGTTGCTGGCTCTGTCTATCTATTACATGACCCAAACTTAAGGAAACAGCCTCTGAACTTCTGACTCCCTTTAAGAAAGTTTATTTCTTTCCAGGCAGGGCATGGGCTCAAGCCTATAATTCCAGCACTTTGGACGGCCGAAGTGGGTGGATCACAAGGTCGGGAGTTTGAGACAAGCCTATCCTGGCCAATATGGTAAAACCTGTCTCTCTAAAAAAAAAAAAAAAAAGTATATTTCTTTCCTTTTAGAATTTTTTCTCTTGCTTGCTTTGAGGGGTCTGTTTGAGATGGAGGTTCACTCTTTTACCCAGGCTGGAGTACAGTGATGTGATCTCGGCTCACTGCAACCTCTGCCTTCCGGGTTCAAGTGATTCTCCTGAGTACCTGGGATTAAAGGTGCCCCCCACCATGCCCAGCTAATTTTTGTATTTTTAGTACCGACAGAGTTTCACCATGTTGGCCAGGATGGTCTCAAATTTCTGGCCTCTGGTGACCCACACACCTCAGCCTCCCAAAGTGCTGGGATTACAGGCGTAAGCCACTGCACCCGGCCTGTTTGTTTTTTGAGACAGGGTTTCTCTCTGTCACCCAGGCTGGAGTGCAGTGGCATGATCATAGCTCAATGCAGCCTCGAATTCCCAGGCTCAAGTGATCCTTGAGTAGCTAGGACTGCAGGCATGCCATCACACCTGGCTAATTTATTTACTTATTGAGTAGAGACGGGGTGTCGCTATATTGCCTAGGCTGGTCTTAAAGCCCTGGGCTCAAGAGATTCTCCCACCTTAGCCTTCCAAATTGCTGAGATTCCAGGTGTGACCACCACACCCAGTCTGAGGTTTTAAAATTGTTGTATAGTATAGTTTAGTATAGTATAATATGATGGTTAACAGTGGGGTGGCAGGCGCAGTGACTCATGCCTGTAATCCCAGCACTTTGGGAGGCTGAGGTTGGCAGAGCACCTGAGGTCGGGAGTTCAAGACCATCCTGACCAACATGGAGAAACCCCATCTATACCACAAATACAAAATTAGCTGGGTATGGTGGTCCATGCCTGTAATCCCATCTACTCAGGAGGCTGAGGCAACAGAATCGCTTGAACCCGGGAGGCGGAGGTTGTGGGGAGCCTAGACCATGCCACTGTACTCTAGCCTGGCCAAGAACATCTCGAAAGAGAGAGAGAGAGAGGTTACAGACTCAAAGCGACCCAGCTGAAAATCTTATCTCTACCACCACTGTTTGGGCAAACATCTTCCCTCCTCTGAGACTCAGTTTTGTCATCTGCAAAAGGCGACACCATTCCCAGGGGACATTGGCTCTTCTGATCACATGGCATAACAGCAATGCCTGAGAGGCTGTGCTGTGCAGGAAGCCAGACACCCAGGAGTGACTCAGGAAGGAAATGAGGAAGTCCTGGAGACAGACAGGGCCCCACCCCCAAAGCCCAGGAGAGTAAGGAGTGGGTAAGACATCCCCGCAGCTGGGATGGCACAGGCGACTGCGCCAGATCATGGCAGCTCAACCTCTACATGGGAGCAGGCGAGTGAGGGCCAGAGAGCAGGGCTGTGCAGGGCCTGTGAGGCAGGAACTGGATCCTCCAGGCCAGGGACTTTCCATTTGTTTAGCAGTGGCCCAAAGTTAAGAGATGCATGTTTTAGTGTGACCCCGTCTGAACCCAATTGTATGAATATAACTGAAACCAGAAGGTCGCAAACAGTGTCCTTACTACGCTTCGTGTTCTGTTTTTTTTAATTGCTTGTCTTGACCCTGTACATTGATTTCAGACTCCTGGGTCTTCTCCAGCAGAGAGCTTCTGCCAGTTTAGGAAGGGCAGGAGCAGGATGAGTTTGTGGATCGCTAGGGGCTCAGAGCCACAGAGGCAGCCCCGGTTGGGCAGGAGAGGGGGCTGGATGGGAGCTGTTGAGGTGGAGGGGTGGGGGGCATGTACTGGCAGTGGGCAGGTCTGATCCTGAACATCAGTGAGCCACAGGAAAGCTGCCAGGTGGGCACACAAACACGTGGGGGCACTTCCCACCAGGGACTCACTCAGCATGGGGTCCCTGTGCCAGGGGTGGGAGGGTAGTAACTCCACCCAGATCTCAACCCCCAAGTTCAAGCAGCCACAGATTCATAAGAAGAACTGGAAAAGGAAGGACTCAGGCACCCTCAGGCGGTTGGCAAAGTCTTTCCCAACAAGGGTGGGAGAAGAGGAGCTGGAAGCTGTGGACAGAGGGCTGTTCATGTCCAGAGCCCTCAAATACCACACCACAGAAGGGACTTCAGCTGGGCCAGGCCGGCACACGGGATGGGGATGGTGCCCCAGCCTGGGTCGGGGACAGGCCCCTGGGGGTCCTGCTGCACCTGGACCATCAGGGCCTGTGTCCCCTGTGCCAAGGGCGTGTCATTTAACCAGGGCTTTCCCAAACCCCCAAATTTGCCTCTTTTTTTTTTTTTTTGAAACAGAGATAGCTCTTGTTTCCCAGGCTGGAGTACAGTGGCTCAATCTCGGCTCACTGCAACCTCTGCCTCCTGGGTTCAAGCTATTCTCCTGCCTCATCTTCCCAAGTATCTGAGACTATAGGAGTGTGCCACTACACCCGGCTAATTTTTGTATTTTTAGTAGAGATGGAATTTCACCCTGTTAACCAGGCTGGTCTTGAAATCCTGACCTCAGGTGATCTGCCCACAGTGCTGAGGTTACAGGCTTGAGCCACCACACCCAGCTGGCATTTGCCTTTGAAAATCCTCAAGGAGGACTCCCTGCCTCATTCTCATACCCTGGAGAAAGGCAGCCTGGCTCTTGGCAAGCAGCTGGGTTCCAGGTCCAGTGAATCCCGCCACAGTCCCTGAAGGTTGGCATTGTTGCTCTCCCTGTGTTGTGGGGAGATGCTGAGGTCAGAGAAGTTAAGCTGCCTGCCGAAGGTTGCACAGCCTTGAAGTGGCAGAGCCAGGTGCTGAATCCAGGCCTGTTGCCTCCAGAACCTGGGCTTTCCCCAGACACCTGTGCCCATCGCCCCTGTTTCCAGCCAGGCCCAAGCCTTCCTCACAGTGTGGGAGAAACTTCCCTGGAGCTGCAGGGAAGTGAGGGATGGGAAAAGTGTACTGCCCAAAACACACTCTGGTATAGCAGTATAGCAGGGTGGGCAGACTGAGCGGATGCACGGTGCTGCCCAGATCAGATGTCTGTGCTTGCAGCTGTGTGGGGGTGGGGAGGCACAGGGGAGGACCTGAAGGCTCAGAACAAATAGCCAAGCCCTGGGGCGGGGCCCTCCCAGATACCTGCGGCAACCCTGCCTCTGGTGGCCCTGCTGCCCTCCTGTTCCACCCCTCCTCCCCCATGGTCCTCACCCGGGTGCCCTCTCCCCTCTCCCTGCACCATCCCATCCACATTCACCAGGCTCAAGAGGCTCCTATCCAGAAAACTCCCCAAGAGCCAAACTCTCCCTGCCCCTGCAGCCTTCCCTCCTGGCAGGGCAGGCCGGGGAGTTCATGTCTTCACCCGCCCCTCCTCACCCTGTGCCCCAACTCTGCCCTCCCCAAGCCCCAGGGGAGCTCCTTGCAGCCACTTCCAGGCCCCTCTCTCCAACAGGCAGGCAAATGGAGAATCCTCCTAAGTTCTCTAAAAGGTTGGGATCCAATCCACCCTGCACAGAACAGAAAACACCTAGGGCTCCTTGAGACACTTCCTCCCTGTGCCCAAGGGCCAGTCCCAGCTCCACCTGCCCCAGGTCCCTGGGACCTGGAGAATGACCAGAAAAGCAGCAGGAGCAGGTCCTGGGCCCTCTAGATGCCTTGTTGTTGGAGAATTTCTCCCGGCAAAACCTAGTTCCTCCAAGTCAAAGTCCAAAGGTCAACGAAAGTCACACATGAGTCCCAGTTCTTCACATCTCTAACCCTGTGTAACAGATGAAACTTCAAACTCTGATGCTGAAGTGGTTCTCCATGTCACCCGGGTCCTGTGTGAGGGGGAGGGGCGAGGTCCCTCTTCTTTTTCCCGCCCAGACTCCCTCCTTGTCCGTCCCCACTGATCAAGCTGGTGGAGGCAGAAAAGACCTGTCATGTCAGGCACATGGGAGGCTGGCCCTGGGCTCCGGGTGCTTGTAGAGTTGGCCTTGAGTCCCGTGGGGCACGTTCATGGCCGTACAGGACCCCCACGGAAGTGCTGCAAACAAATGACAGCTGAAAAGCATTTGTGGACTTGGAAATGGCCATGAAACCTATCTTCAGCACTGAGCTGTCATGGGGAAGTGCCTCTAGTAGGCAGCCAGCTAGGGCCTGGACTTCTATGGCCTGCACTGCTGAAGGGGCCTCTGGGAGGCACAGGGCCAGGAGATGGGCTGGGAGCTGGGCAGTTGCAGGGGTCCAGCTCAGGGGTACTGACGCCCAGTAAAAGGAAGGCAGGGGAGGCGGTGAGCTACATCCAAAGTCCAGAACCTGGCAGGCCTTGGCGGCACCTGCAGGCTTCCTCTCCTCTCCCTGGGTTTTGGCCTGATGTCTCCAGACCAGCTGTTGTTACTGATGGAGCTGCTCAGAGACTGCTTCCTCTCTTCACTTTTTAGAGACAGCAGTTTCATCAGAGGTCTGAGGTTCTTGCTTCAAAACCTCTCCTCGCTGTGGCAGACCTGAGCCAGAGCTGAACGTTTTCATGATCCTGACACTCTGACCTTAAAATAACAAATCCCAAAAGAAGACAGAACGATGGCCATCCGTTTTTATAGATTTCCCTGGAATTATAAATATCGGCATAATTGCGATAGCAGAGTTCATTATTTTCTAGAAGGATACTTTGGACAGAGAGAATTTTTAAAGTCAATTGGTCTGAAGTCTTCCTGCCCAGGAGAAACAGGAAGGTTTCATGGTGCTGACTGTGTATCTGTCCTCCCCCTGGAGTGGCTTCTTAGCTACACTGTGAGGAGGAGAAGGAGGCCCCGGTGAGGAAATGGAGGTCACAGGTTGAGGGGGACATGGGGTAGGGGCACAGAGGGGGAAGTGGCCTGTGAGTGTTGTGTGGAGCTGTAGGGTGGGGTCGGTGACAATGTCATTTGTTCACCCCACCCCTCTTGTCTCATACAAAATTTTTTTTTTGAGATGGGGCCTTGCTCTTGTCGCCCAGGCTGGAGTGCAATGGCACAATCTCAGCTCACTGCAACCTGCGCCTCAAACATTCTCCTGCCCCAGCCTCCCAAGTAGCTGGAATTACAGGCTCCCACCACAATGCCTGGCTAATTTTTGTGTTTTTAGTAGAGATGGAGTTTCGCCATGTTTGGCCAGGCTGGTCTTGAACTCTTGACCTCAGGTGATCAGCCCACCTGTGCCTCCCAAAGTGCTAGGATTACAGGCATGAAACACTCTGCCCAGCCTGGGGATGTCTCTTTAGGGGCTCAATAAGAAGCTCAAAATATCAGCGTGGCCAAAGTTTTGAGGAATTAACTGAAGCGCAGGGCCGACTATGTGTCTGTCTGTCCCGCATCTTCCAGAAGGCTGGCCTCCCTTTTGGGACCCTTTTCCCAGAGCTCTGGCTCAGAGCTGAACTGAAGAGACCTGGGAAGTCAGTCTGGCCTCACTCCAGCCCCACACCACAGGCAGCACCTGCACCTCATTTTCCCCAACAAAATAAATCTTGCGGCTCCTCTGAGGATCTCAAACACACTACACTATCTACGCCCAAGTAACAAGGCGGCCTGCATGTTCTTGGCTGCTGGCTGCTGGCTGCTGACCTCAGTTTAAAACTGTCTGCTGCTCAGCTGCTAGAGAAGGCGGGGCCTGGAGCGCCTGGGAGCGCTGAAGCTGAGGGGTCTGAGCGGCTGAAGTCTGGGGCAGGGGGTGGCTGCCGCCCCAGCCCAGGATCCAAACAGCATCTCAGAGGCCTGCAGCAGGGGTTAGAGGCCCCCCAGGGAGGGCTGCTGCTTTGCGAATTTTCAAACTGTTTTCTGAAGTGCCTCTGATGACTGGGGGGGAGGGGTGCCTCCTGCAAAACTGGCCTTGTCACGGTCCGTTGACATCATGATCACAGCCGAAATGGCCCCACGTGGAGCACCTCTTCGGTGTTGGAAAAACCACTCTCAGGATGTTGCCTGTTATACTACATAAAAACCTAACTGGGCGCGGTGGCTCATGTCTGTAATCACAGCACTTTGGGAGGCTGAGGCAGGTGGGATCACCTGAGGTCGGGAGTTTCAGACCAGCCTGACCAACGTGGAGAAACTCCATCCCTACTAAAAATGCAGAATTAGCTGTGTGTGATGGTGCATGTTTGTAATCCCAGCTACTTGGGAGGGGAGGTTGCAGTGAGGCCAGGTGAGCCGAGATTGTGCCACTGCACTCCAACCAGGGCAACGAGAGCGAAACTCCATCTAAAAAAAAAAAAAAAACAAAACCCAAAAGCCTGACACATCCTTTCCAAGTCCAGGAGAGTTTTGTCTTCTACCACCTGTGCAGCAGACAAAACTCTTGCTTCCTTTCATTTTCTTGCTTCCTTTGTTATTTCCCATCCGTCACCAGCTTTCACTCTTCTCAGGCCTGGGCATTTATTTTACGTGGCCTCTTGGACTTCGGGAAGGAGAGGGGTTAGGAGAGCAGGCTCTGGTGTCTCCCAGGCCTGAATGGCATTGTAGCTCCGCTCTCTACCTGCTGAGGGATCAGGAGCTAGTTGCTTCAGCTCCCTGACCCTCAGACTCTTTCCCTTTGCAAAACAGGGGCTCTCGTTTTGCCTACGGATATATTAGGAGAGGCAGAGCGGTGTGTGTAATGTGCCTGGCACAAGTCCGACACACAGCAAGTGCAGGAGAGGCAGAAGCTGCAGCTGCAGAGGTAGGGGCACAGAAGGCATGAGACTTGTCTTTTGTTTTTTGTTTATTTTTTTTTTGAGATGGAGCTCGATCTTGTCACCTAGGCTGGAGTGAAGTGCCATGATCTCAGCTCACTGCAACCTCCGCATCCCAGGTTCCAGTGATTCTCCTTTCATCATGTTGGCCAGGCTGGTCTCAAACTCCTGACCTCAGGTAATTTGCCTGTCTCAGCCTCCCGAAGTGCTGGGATTACAGGCATGAGCCACCATGCCTGGCCACAAGCCTTGTTTTAACCTGCAAGTGGGTGGGACTGAGGCAGCCTCAAGTGACCTGTCCCTCTCTCCCTTTGCTTCCCCTCCAGGAGGACACAGTCAGTGACCCACAGCAGCCTGCCCATCATGGCCTCCCTGGCCAACTCACCTGTCTCCTTCAGCTGCAGGATCAGCTACCCGTACACCCCCCAATTCAAGGCTTTCACAGTCAGTGACCCACAGCAGCCTGCCCATCGTGGCCTCCCTGGCTAACTCAGCTGTCTCCTTCAGCTGCAGGATCAGCTACCCGTACACCCCCCAATTTAAGGCTTTCACAGTCAGCTACTTTCATGAAGACCTCCATGGGCGAAGGAGCCCTGAGAAGCCAACCAACTGCCACCCTGGACTGGGCATAGAGAACCAGACCTATGCCCTAAACTGCCTGGTCACCCTTGTGCCGTTGGACACATCAGCGACTGGCACCTACTACTGCTCTGTCAACAGGCCACACCCTGTGGCAACAGGCAGTGGCACCTTCATCCTGGTCAGAGGTGAGGCTTTCTCTGTGGCTCTTCCAGGGGCAAAAGACCCAGAGATTTCAACCAGCAGTTTGGGACTCAGAAATAGAGAATGGGGCCAAGTGTAGTGACTCACGCCTGTAATCGCAGCACTTTGGGAGGCCAAGGCGGTAGATCACCTGAGGTCAGGAGTTTGAGACCAGCCTGGACAGTATGGTGAAACCCTTCTCTACTAAAAATACAAAAATGAGCTGGGCATGGTGGTGGGTGCCTATAGTCCCAGCTACTCGGAAGGCTAAGCCACGAGAATCCATTGAACCCAGGATTTGGAAGTTGCAGTGAGCCTAGATCGTACCATTGCACTCCAGCCTGGACAACAAGAGCAAAACTCTGTCTCAAAAAAAAAAAAAGGAAGGAAAGCCGGGCATGGTGGCTCACATCTGTAGTCCCAGCACTTTGGGAGGCCGAGGAGGGAGGATCACCTGAGGTCGGGAGTTCAAGTCCAGCCTGACCAACATGGAGAAACCTCGTCTCTGCTAAAAATACAAAAAAATTAGCCAGCATGGTGGTGCATGCCTGTAATTCCAACTACCCAGAGAGAATTGCTTGAACTGGGAGGCAGAGGTTGCCATGAGCTGAGATCATGCCATTGCACTCTAGCCTGGGCAACAAGATCGAAACTACATCTCAAAAAAAAAAAAAAAAAAAAAAGGCGGTGGCTCAAGCCTGTAATCCTAGCATTTTGGGAGGCCTAGGTGGGTGGATCACCTGAGGTCAGGAGTTCAAGACCAGCCTGGCCATTATGGTGAAACCCCATCTTAAAAAAAAAAAAAAAAAAAGGAAATAGAGAATGATTTGCCTTCTCTGCCAATGTTGGCAAAGCAGGACCCAGCCTTTTCAGGGAGCCCTGGCCTGCAGCTGTGCCAGGGCCCCACCTGCATATGGAAAGGGAAGGCCTGGCTTGCAGATCGGCCCCTAGATGCCTCTGGAAGGTGACCTGAGAGAGCTCACTCGGGCCCTTGGTCTCAGCGTGCACAGGCATCATGGCTTGGTGGACTTCTATAGAACTAGCCAGGTGCATGTATTGTTCTTGTGGGAGCCTCGTGTATGTGAGCACTTGGCTCATGTATAATATACCTTTAGAGGTACAGGGTTTTAGTTTTCATCATGTTCTCTTATTTATTTATGTATTTATTTATTTTTTCTGAATCCAAGGTAAGATATTTTTTTTATTTATTTTTTTGAGACAGAGTCTCACTCTATCACTAGGCTGGAGTGCAGTGGTGCTATCCCGGTTCACTGCAACCTCCGTTTTCCAGTTTCAAGCAACTCTCCTGCCTCAGCCTCCCAAGTAGCTGGGACAACAGGCACACACCACCACGCCCGGCTAATTTTTTGTATTTTTAGTAGAGACGGGGTTTCATTATGTTGCAGGATGGTCTCGATCTCTTGACCTTGTGATCCACCCACCTCAGCTTCCCAAAGTGCTGGGATTACAGGCATGAGCCACCACGCCTGGCCATCTTTTTTTTTTTTTTTTTCTGAGACGGAGTCTCACTGTGTCACCGAGGCTGGAGTGCAGTGTCACGATCACGATCTCTGCTCACTGCAACCTCCACCTCCAGGGTCAAGCATTTCTCCTGCCTCAGCCTCCCAAAGTGCTGGGATTACAGGTGTGAGTCACCACAACCAGCTAGTTATCATCACATTCTCAAAGGAGTGATGACCCCAAAAGTTATGAGGGAGCCCCTGGCTGAAGCCCTGATTCTCTGACCTACCTCTGCGATCCCCTGGAAGGAGCTGGGGGCTTCCAAATCCCATAGGCCTGGGTTTGCACCCCTGTCCCGCTGCCTGATGTGAGCTTGGGCCTGGTCTTCATGGCAATCCTCTGCCTTCCAAGGACTTGGATGAGGATGAGGGAGATGGTGCCCATACGGGCTGGTGGCTGACTATAGGCACTGCTGGGGAAATCACCATGTGCCTGGCACCTGGTTCACACCCTGTGTGTTTTTGCCAGCCAGATGGATGAATGGATGGGGTAAAGGGGAAGGAGGAATGGATGACAGCAGGAGGAACAGTAGGATGACACAGAGGAGGGCTGGGCCTCACCTAGCCCAGGTGCAGGGCCCCTCCACTGTCAGTCCCATTATAAACCCACCTCCTTCAGCCCTAGCCACATTCACCCCTATTATCACCACCTCACACAGGGAAAAGAAGAGACCCCAAGAAGGGAGACAATGGGCTCAGAGCCCTGCAGGCAGCCCTCAGGGGAGCTAGGGCACTGGGGCACTGGGGGAGCAAACGAGGCGGTCCCTGTCCTTACAGAGAATCAAGGCAGTGAACATAAAAAGGACCAAGGGGAGGCCGGGCTCAGTGACTCACACCTGTAATCCCAGCACTCTGGGAGGACGAGGCGGTTGGATCATCTGAGGTTGGGAGTTTGAGACCAGCCTGACTAACATGGAGAAACCCCACCTCTACTAAAAATACAAAAATAAGCCCAGTGTGGTGGCACATGCCTGTAATCCCAGCTACTCAGGAGGCTGAGGCAGGAGAATCACTTTAACCCGGGAGACAGAAGTTTCAGTGAGCTGACTTCTAGCCTGGGCAACAAGAGTGAAACTCCATCTCAAAAAAAAAAAAAAAAAAAAGAAAGGCAGAAAGACAGAGAGAGAGAGAGAGAGGGAGGGAGGGAGGGAGAGAGAAAACAGAAAAGAAAAGAAAAGGACCCAGGGGGACAATGAAGGCCTGAGGCCCGGTTCCCGGGGACCCTAGTGGGGTGTGGAGTGTGTCAGCAGGGGAGTATTGAAAACAGGTCCTGGGTGAGGGAGAACATCAGGTGGGTGTGCCCCGCTTTCTCCTGGGTCACTGACCCCTCTGCTCCCCTGCTCTTCTTCCTAGACACAGGGTACTGAGAGCCCCTGTGGAGCCCTTAGAAGCTCCTGCTCTTTGGCTTCACCAGCCTCCTGAGTGTCCTGAGTGTTGTGGACACAGCCCTGCGGCTCCAGAAGAAGGTAGGCATGAATACTCACAGCCACACAGCCCCTCCACCCACACACCATGGGTTGGGGTGCCTCCAGGAAACAGAGAGAAGCTGCTGTGTCCTTGCCTGGTGAGGGCACATCCACATCTGTAACAGGTGGCCCTGGTGACTCCTTGTATTGGGACTGAGGGCACCTCTCCTGTGCCACTCCCCGAGCTGCCGTGGGGCCCCTTTTGATTCTGCTGAGAACCTGAGAGGGCCTGCAGACCCTCCTGCCTACCATTCCAGCTCCACAGATTAGGAAATCCCTGCCCAGAATTTTTGATCCCAGGAGGCTGGAAGGGAAGAAGGGGCTACCAGCCACTGGCACAGGTGCCCTCCCACACACCCTCCACCATAGCTCCACAGGGAGGTTTCTTCCCATTTCACAGCTCTGGAAGGTGAGGCTCAGAGGTTGTGATTTGCCCAGGGTCAATAGTAGGTGTGCAGCAGAGTCGGGACTAGAGTGCAGGATGGGGTAGCTGGGTCCAGCTTCTCACCTGGACAGCTCCTGCTCACACTGCAGGTGGCCCCTGCCTGCTGAAGGAGCTTCTCTGCTGGCCCATACTCACTGTCACCCAGCCCTATGGATTCCTGTTCAATGCAGGCCCACCCTTCCTACCTGGCAGCAAGTGCCAGGAGGCCAGAGGCTGAGGCAGTCTTCTCTGGGGGTTTCGTGCCCAGCACATGAGAGTGCTCAGGCAGTATGCTGAGGGAAAGTATGTAGTACCCGCTGGGTTTTCCCAGGCCCAGGGGTGCAAAGATGACAGGTCAGGGCTCCTCAGAAGCTGCTGTTAGCAGCTCAGGCTACTGCTGCGCCCTTCAGGGACCTTCAGGGCCAAGCCTGAGGGCAGCTGAGTCAGCAATGGCCCTGGGTGTGAGGGGAGGGCAATGACACCATCACCTGGTCTCCCTGGGTCAAAGAAGGCTCAGCCCCTGCATCCAAAGGCCGAGACCCTACCCACACCCAGAGGAGAGCTCTCTTCCATGGGAATTTATGTGCTCATTCATTCAGCAAACACTCAACACCTCCAATATTCCAGACCCTGTTCTAGGCACTCGGGACGTAGCAATGACCAAACTGGAATCCTGAAATCTCTGTCTCTGAGGCCGGGCACAGTGGCTCAAGCTTGTAATCCCAGCACTTTGGAAGGCTGAGTTGGGCGGATCACTCGAGGTCAAGAGTTCGAGACCAGCCTGGCCAACATGGCAAAACCCCATCTCTACTAAAAATACAAAAATTAGCTGAGCACATCAGCGGGTACCTGTAGTCCTAGCTACTCAGGAGGCTGAGGTGGGAGAATCGCTTGAACCTGGGAAACGGAGGTTGCAGTGAGCCGGAATCATGCCACTGCATTCCAGCCTGGGCGATAGAGCAAGACTCCATCTCAAAAAAATAAAAAGAGGCTGGGTGCGATGGCTTATGCCTGTAATCCCAGCACTTTGGGAGGTTGATGTGGGCAGATCGCTTGAGGCCAGGAGTTCAAGACTAGTCTGACCAACATAGCAAAACCCTGCCTCTACTAAAAATACAAAAGTTAGCTGGGCATGGTGATGAGCGCCTGTCGCCTGCGCCTGTCCTCCCAGCTACTCGAGAGGCTGAGGCAGAATTGCTTGAACCCAGGAGGCAGAGGTTGCAATGAGCAGAGATCGCACCACTGCACTCCAGCCCCTGGGTGACAAAGTGAGACTCCGTCTAAGAAAAAAAAAGAAAGTTTATTCTGATTGTGGTTTTGAATTTAAAAAAAGAAAGAAAAAGAAAGTAAGAAAAGAAAAGAAAATCTGTTTTTATTAAATTGATATTCCCGCTGAGGTGAGTCAGACGATGAACCACCCAGTGAATAGTTAATTTAACTCAGATGGGATAAGTGTTGGGGGGAACTCAGACTGGGAACAAAGAAGTGCCTGGAATGAAGGGAGGCAGGTGCACACCAGGGCCAGGTGTGTTCAGCGGGGGAACAGTGGGAGCAGGTACTCTGGGGCAGGAGCTGTAGTGGGGCTGAGGTGGCTTGTGTAGCCTGAGCTCAGAGTAGACAGATGGGAAGTGGAAGGAGGTCCCGCCAGGTAGGGGCATTTTGAAAGGACTTCAGCCCTTATTCTATGTGAGAAAAGGGAGGGGGTGGGATCAGACCCAGATTCTAACGGACCCTCTGGCTGGGTGAGGGACACCCAGTGAGGAGCTACTGCAAAGTCCAGGCAGAGGAGACAGGAGCCAGGACCAGGGTGGCCTCAGGGAAGCAGTGAGTGAAGTGGGTGAAAGGCTGAGTGGACCCAAAGAGACTCAGCAAAGAGATTTGCTCTGCTCCCTCCATGGTGGGCCTGAGCCTGAAGGCATCTGGATCTGGGCCTGGCAGGCAGGTGTCAGGTGAGCTGTGGACTGGAAGAGCAGGCAAGGAAGCTGAAGGTCACAGCTTGCCTGAGCCACTGCAAGTGGCAGGCCTGGGACTAGAGTCCACGCTTTAGATTCCCATCCTTGTCTTTAGGCTGAAGATGTCATTGCTTTTCCCAAGAAGGTTCTGGGGTGCTAAAAGAGCATGAACTTGGCCCTGTTCACCCCAGGAGCATCAGGGGATGTCCTTCTGTGAGCTGGCCTCTAGGTCAGGGCCTCAGCTGTGATGCTGGCTCCCATCCTTCCTCTGGGGCTGACCCTGGTGTGACTGGTCCTACTTTGACCTTGCCTTGTTGATGAGCTTCAAGGTGAAGTAAGCCACAGGCCCTGGGTGCCACTGTGAAGTCCAGGAGGGCTCTGGGTTCTGCTTTGACTCCAGCCCAGCCAGAGGGACCAGCTGAGCCAGGAAGACCCAAGATGGATGGGAACACTTCCTTCAGCTTCCATGAACCCAGGGTTAGAATGAGACCAGCTGACTTCAGGCCACCTCCCTCCCCAAGCCAGCACAGAGGTGCACCTGCCATGTGCCCAGCCTGAGCCTTCCTTGCACGCCCCTGACTCCTGCCCTCAATATCTTCCCTCCCTCCCTCCTGCTTTTCCCATGATGATAGCAAGTAGGATATCTCTCCATTTCTTCACTACTTAGCAGACCACAGGCACTCAAAACGAGGCCAGGGGAGGAGCTGGGATGGACACAGAAACTGGGCTTCAGGCACAGGTGACAAGGGACTCTCCCTGCCTGCGGACCTCCACCCAGGGTTGCAGGAGTGACCCACACAAGTGCCCTCTGTGTACAAGAAGCACAACGGGTGAGCGGAAGAACGGGGCCAGGCGAGATCTTAACCCTGAGCCCCCCACTTGCTGAGCAACCCCAGCTCCTGCCCTACAAAGATGGGACCAGACTGTAGGGACTGGGTCACAGTATCAGTGAAGGAGGGGCAAAGCTCAGAGCCATGGGCTTGACTTCTGGTCCCAGCTTCCTCCCTGCTTCAGTGACTCCTGCCTTCCTCCTCCTCGTCCTCCTCCTCCTCCTCCTCCTCCTCCTCTCATTTCCCTGCCTGCACTTCCAGGAATGTCTGCAAAGTGTCTCATGTGTGCCATCACTAGGCTAAGTGCCAGCAGGGTGGGAGCAAGCCCTCTCATCAAGTTTGGGCCCTCTCTGAGCCTTGGTTTTCTCCTCTGGTGGAAATAAGGATACAGATAGACCCTGCCCACCAAGTGAACATGGAAGGAGAGCACTTTTTTTTTTTGAGATGGAGTTTCATTCTTTTGGCCCACGCTGGAGTGCAATGGTGTGATCTCAACTTACTACAACCTCCACCTCTCAGGTTCAAGTGATCCTCCTGCCTCAGCCTCCCAAGTAGCTGGAATTACAGGTGCGCACCACCATGCGTGGCTAACTTTGTATTTTTAGTAGAGACAGGGTTTCACCATGTTGGCCAGGCTGATCTCAAACTCCTGACCTCGGGTGATCTGCAGGAGAGCACTTTTGAGGCACCAGTTTGGTGCCTGATGCACAGTAGGAGCTTCCTGCTGCCTCCACATCCCCTGACCCTGGGGAGGACAGTTGAGATGAGAGCCTGGGCTGGGAGGGAAAGAGAATCCGGGGCCCAGAGCTGCTGCTGTGTTTGCATTGCTGAAGAAGCCCGGAGCCCCCAGGTTCACTGTGGATGCCCCTGAGGGCCTCCCCGGAACCCCCAGGTTCACTGTGGATGCCCCTGAGGGCCTCGGCAGGATGGGGAAAGGAGAGAGTCCAGGAAAAAGACATTCCCTCCAGGCACAGAGGACCCGGGAGCACCTGTGGTGGTGGATAAGTGAATCAAGGCTGGAAACTACCAACTAGAAGCGGCAGAGGGTGAACTGGAACAGAGCAGAGTGTGCAACCCCACTGGGCTGAGTCTGGAAAAATGGCTTTGCCTCCTCGGGGGAAGTGCCTGCAAAGGCCAGGCAGGAGGGCACGGAGCTCACACCCTTAGAAGATGGGAGCTGGAGGGTAGCAAGAATTGAAGACCCATGGAGGCTGCCGGGAGGGGTTGGGGCAGGAGGGACGGGGGTGGAGCCCAGGAATGGATGACCCACAGGTGGCACTGTCAGCCCTGCCTGCAGGCCCTTCAACAGCAGAGGCCTCGTGGACCCTCCTTGTTCTCTGTGCTCCAGCACCTGGGATGCCTCCTGGAGATCTCCTTTGTCTTTCTGGACCCAGCTCCCATGTCCCCAGCTCAGAGAGGCCCTCCCCATGGCTACTTCTCTGCCACCACCCTTGCCTCTGTTCTCGTCATCTGTAGGTCTCCTGATCTCTTACTCTATTTCTTCCCCAAAGCCAGCTCTGTGAGGCTGGGTGCCTCTCAGCCTGTTCCCTGTCACACGCAGCCCCAGCCTCTAGCACAGGGCCCCCACATAGTAGGCCCTCAATTAATATTTGCTGAAGGGCTTACCATTTATAGGGCTCTTTCACACCTGTCATTAAATTCATTCATTCAGGCCAGTTGCAGTGGCTCACACCTGTAGTCCCAGTACTTTGGGAGGCCCAGGTGGGCTGATCACCTGAGGTTGGGAGCTGGAGACCAGCCTAGCCAACATGGGGAAATCCTATCTCTACAAAA